GGGGAAGGGCGGCTGCTGGACTGAACGTGTGATGGAGGTATCGACGCTGGTGGCATTGCGCGGTGGCGTCGGCGGTTGGGAAGGCAGCTGGTAGGACTGGAATGCGGCGGCGAACGGGGGGGATGTGGACGAGAATTGACGCAGGCGCAACAGTGTTCGCCGGCACGAGAGGCAGACTGGGAGATTTGTCCTCCGCGATATCAATCTAGGGGCGTTCATCTTTGCGGTGGTGAGGTGGAATGCTTTCGACGACGGCGACGAGGGCGATGTTGGTGATGAGGCAACAAAAAGGGAGGCAATGATGGCAAAGCACAAACTTGGCGTTGGTTTCTTGACTGCCTCTGTCAGCCGAGCCCAGCCAACATGACGCCAAGCGTTGCGGTTGCCCGGTTTCTGCCGGGCCAATCAGCGCTCGCCTATTAGGAATGCTTGGCCACACTTTCACTACAGGGCCCGGTTTAGCTCCACACTTTGTCATCCCACAACATGGGATCAACAAGCACACTTTGGACTTTAGACTGCCTTCCCCGGATTGCTGGAAATTCACTGTCGACTTCTGAACACACCTAATCGCTCAAGGTCGCTCGATTTTTATAACAAACGAAATATGACCGACCAGCAGCTTGCCCCGCTTCACGCTTCGGATTGCGCTATTCAGAGCTTCAAGTTTCCATGTCGACTGAACAACCTCGACCAACCGAGTAAATAATTGACTCTTCGCGGTGACGGGAACTCGTGCCGCAGCTACCATTACAAGAGAAAAGAGGAGCCGTTAAGAGACATTTTCTCGCGGCCTTGAGGCTCAGTTTAGGCAAGTGCATCGCGATAAGATCCAAGCGCTTGCAGGTGCCATTTAAGTGCGGTGAAGCGAAGGATCCAATTATTAGCCTTGCGTAGCCAAAACCCGGTCGTGAACTGTTTCAGGTTCACTTATTACAGTTCATAGTCCGGGCCTCTGACTCTGCATCATGTTCTTCGGTTTCACTCAACTTAACCGAATCACACGCATTTTCAGGGAGGTAATGCGAATTTTCATATCAAACGAGTAAAACTGGAAAGGAACTTAACCCAAGCCGTGCGAGTCAATGTTCGCAGCAAACTCAACAGCTTCTTCTCAGCAGGTCTGGATAAATGTGCGTCACAGTGCTATACTATTCCTCGCGCTAGGAGACCGAGACATCCTCTACACTTGTTGGATGAGATGGCCAACGTTCCACGTTTCTTGGCAATTAGTCCGTACCACCTAGGTAAGGTACCTATTGTGAGTGGTACTTATTGCGAGTGGTACCTATTGTGAGTGGTACCTATTGTGAGTAGTACCTATTATGAACAAGCGTTTAATCAACAATTGTTGAGTTCTTATGTCTCACTATATTAAATACTTATATTATGTCAAAGTAACATTGCTACTCTAGCATCGACGGCCTCTGAGACTAAGGCTTCCATGTATACATGGGAAAGGTGCTAGAAGTGACAAGACCGCGTCGATCAAATGAAGAGGACTCATCAGATGGACTTGGTATCCTCGAGGGCCTAGATGTCGCCCCTTTGACCAAATCTGTTCGGCCAGTCCCGTTTAGCCCGACTCCCTCGGTTGTCTCGCCTTCTTCTGGCCACGTAACCTTGACAAAGCGACGGAAAAAGAGCCACGATGCCCTCAGTATAGTAGTGCCCGCAATCACGATGCCCGTTATTTGGCCGACGGACAATGATGCAGGCGGGTTGGGGTCGTAAGCTGCTATAGCAAGCTCCGTATAGATGGATGACACCATGCCGAAGATCAGGCTCTGCAGAAAAAGGGTACCCGCAGTGGCGGGGACGTCGTCCCACTTGTCAGTCCGTTCCAGAATGTTAAATTCCCACATGTACCGCATGCTGAAGTGCCAGTTTTGCAGCGAGCTGAGCCACCGGAATGTGTAGTAAACCCAGAATATCGCGCCCTCGGCCAATGGCAAAGAAGGAGAGAAGCAGCTACTTTGCCATGCCCACCAGAAGAAGGAAAAGCAGTCGCATTCATCCCCTGCAAATTTTAGATGGTCGAACCGGGCCACGACAACACCGATGACGACCATGCCGAGAACTTGTGCCAACGACACCATGACCACCTCCCAGCGTGCGGCCAATATCTCGCGCGAAGAGAAAGAAACGGCAAGGGCGAGGCTCTGCGCGTCGAGCAGCATCACGCCAATGGCGGCATCAAGCGGGGACAGCGTCTGCTGGCGCATCTGAACTAAAATGGCAATGGCTAGTGAAAGGTGTGTGATGATCAAGCCAGCCGCGAGCTCTTTGACTCCGGTTGGCCGCTGCGATCTGTCGAGGAACGGGCCGGTCGTAACAGAGACCCAGATCCAGCCCTGCTGGACCCAGAGCGCTGCCCGCACGCCGACGCCAGCAATGTCTCCGTCCATGTCGATGGTGCATTGCGGGTTGATTCCGTCCTGTATCTCCCGGAGGTGGTTGAATGTCGGCACCGACAGCGCAAGGCCGAGGATAAACATGGCCACTGTGTTCAGCAGCACCCATGGTGATGTCCAGCTGGGGCCGTTATCGTCCATGAACTGTCTCCCACCAGTAGCGTTGAAGAGACCGTTCTCAGAATCATCATTTTCGTGGCGGCTCTCGGGCCGGCTTTCACTCCCATTCTCGATGTGATTGGTGTTCCCAGTTCGTTTCGGGCTTGGTCTCAGAAGAGCTCCACTCTCGTAGTCGTTCTGCGGCGGTTTCTTCTTGAGAAAGTTTAGGAAACCATATCTTAGTAAACGGACTTGCCATTCCTTTTTGAGCGGCGGTAATATCTCCTGGCTGACCAGGTAAGCCTGAACCAAGAGGGAATACAGTTGCACAACCAGAAAGATGATAACAAAGGCCAGTCTCTTGGAAATGGATAAAGTTTCATGAATGGCTTTTTCGAAGTTGGCTTGATAATTCATGGCAAGCGGGGTGGTTGAAACATCTCATATTTTGAAAAGGGGGCCGATAAGGGGGAAAGAGGAGCCTGAGGCTGATCCGACAAAGTCAGGGCTCATAAGCTCTTTTATCAAATGGTAAGCAGAGCAGAGCGGTATGTAGGGCTCATCCCCTGTGAGGCTCTGTGCGCTAATAGCATATTTAGGAAGAAGAAGTACCGTGCTTTCCGTTACGGTGTGGTGAGTTGCGGGCTCCCGGGTCCCGCTTCTGGGACGGCCTGTAGGGCATGAGCGATGTGCGCAGGCTGGCTGGGCCACCTCCCCGAAGCAAAGATCATACCTTGGTGCATATTTCAATCTCAAAACCACCTTCCACGGGGGTGCCCAGTCAGCTATCGAGGAGGACCACAGGTCGCATTCTGCCTCCTTCTGATGCCACCCGGCCATATCCAGGACGACCCCTATTGGGCGCAATATATTGGCTGACAACAACACTACTGTGGCTGTACCGTGATGAACGCCCGAGGATGAGTGTTGTGGTCGTACAGAGAGGGGGCTAGGCGAGTCCGCCGGATCTCCTTACCTAGACAACTCTTAGCCTAATAATATATCCCCAGTATCACCACAGGCTGCGCCTTTCGGGAATTTCCAGAGCCCTCGCTGCCCATTTTGCTTCAAGGGAGCCGGCCAGGTAAAAGTATTGCAGTGAGGCTGGCCCTTTGGTAGTCCCAATGATGCAAATGAACAACTCATGGCACTCTTGGCACATGATGGGGAGGTCGGGCTCTTGTCGGTATATGGAACAAAATCGAACGGCAGCGAATGGAACAAACGACTGGCGTATTAACAATGAGGGACCAGCCGTCCCTCGATAACCTAACACAGCCACATCAGTGGGCTGCATTATTGCCCCACGGGGGGGGGATCGTGTGGCGAGGAGACGAAATGGGCACCTGAGTCAGCACGCCTCCCGCGCTTTGGTCGATAAAACCAGCCTGATGCCTCTGTGCCGCGGGGCCGATTACTTGATCTCCAACAATCGACCTGCCACTCGTTATCATCAACCACCATCATCTTCGTCTTCATCATCATCAACAACAGCATCGTCATTATCAACAGCAACACGTTATCCAGCGATACAAAACATCATCCAACCAACCCTTTGATATCAGCCAGCGCAGAGGCAGTTTCTACGCAAGTAAACTCACCACAGCTCGTACTCCATAATCCACACAACCATGACGCAAGCCTGGAAGAGCCAACAAACATGACCTTACCCTTCCGTCGGCGAGGAAGCACTTCCACCGTCAGTAAACAGACAAACTCGACAGGGAGTAAGCGCCACCCTCTTGACTCTTCTAACAAATCCACGGCACCAACATCCAACATCCGTGGAGCCATCAGCTTGCTAACTTGTCTTTCTTGTCTGGCTGCAGGTGGAAAGAGTCACAAGTCGTCCCTCTACACATCCCTACCCTCGGTTCACTTCAGGTGGCCATTCGGCCTCGAATCCATCAGGAGCACGTACATCAACAGGAATAGCGCTTTTCACTCGCCGCATCAAATCGGAGTTCACTGAGGCGGAATGAGTGAGGGAGAAGTTGTAAAGAAAAAGAACAAACAATGAAAACTTAAATAGGCACAAACTAAAAGCTTTCAACTGTTGCCTAAGACCATGTTTGCACTTCAATCCAAGGCTCACTTATAAACGTGAGACTTTCCTAAGCTCCAACTAAAGGATCTCGACAAAGCTGCTTTACCCGTTCTAATTAGACAAGGTCGTCCCGCGACTCCTTATTATCGTACCTGGTTGCATCGTCCGCGATCTGGGCTTAGCATGAAGAGCAATTCCTTTGTCTCCATCCATGAATTTATCGCATCGCAATTGACGATAACATGGTAGATCAACTCCACCACGACCTTACGAACATGGGCAATCCGATGAACTACAAGCATGAATGTCATTTTCCCAGGAAGGAAAACCTAATCACTGACCTCAAAAATCCCTAACCAAAGGCGAACGAAGAACCCACTCTTCCGCTCGAAGCGAGCTAACAACAACCAACAAACAATCCACAGTCCACACACTAGACTGATCGGGTGGCACAATGGTAGCTCGTTGTCTTCCGGCTGTACATGACTCACTCGCAAGAGCTCATTCATCATTCTGAAACTAAACTTGGCAAAGGCTCTGGGTTCGAATCCCAGCTCGATCGAGCGATTACTTTTTGCTCATTTTGAGTACACTTCACATACATATTCCGTTCATAAATTGCCCACCGCAAGCATCGTCAACTGGCCTTTTACTGAAAGTCATACACATGTTTTATGTTTCAATTCAGGCGGTAATATTTCTCCTTTGGGCCTTGAACCATCCCTTTGAGACCTTATCTCTACTCCTACAGGTGACAGGGGCTGTCCATTAAGCCTCAACAATGCAGTCCCAACTTCCACCTTGATTCTTTTGGGAGTGCGGTCACGAGTGTTACTGGGCATAACTCATCCATATTCCTTTTGTCAATAAAATTTGTTCACAATGCCAATAGTAGTTTGCATTTCTAACCTTAGGCAGTGCCCCTAATCTGACATTTATCACTCTCCGACCAAAACCTTGACATCTGCCACGGCTGATCTGGCCATCTTCTTCAGCAGCGTCCGCTCATCCGCCTCCCTGTACCGCTCCCAACTATCTAACCCCTCCTTGGCTTGAATACTCAGCGTATCATAGCCCTGCTTGATCAGCTCAAGAACTTGCAGACTCGTCAGCTGCGAGCCGGAGCGCTTGCCCACGGCTTTCACGCCGCTGCTCCCCGCGAGCATCTCTTTGTAATGCAGGCTGACGTTCACTAGTGTATCAATGGAGTTGCTTTGCCTGTTGAAGAGCTTGTACGTGTCGCGGAACTTGACGAGCACATCGCCGGACTCGACGACCTTGTAGAAGAGATCATCGTACGAGGCCGACGTAGGCAAGAAAGACTCGCCAGCGGTCAGGCCAAGGGCGAGCAGGTTGACAACGTGATCGAGGAGCGCATCCATGTGTGAGAGGCCGCGCAGGTCGTTGGCATAAGTGGTCAGAAATCGGACTAGTGAGAGAAGCGATCGGAACAGCTCGGCCCAGTGGTACTGCACGCGTTTTTTGTTACGAGACATGCAGCTGATAATGCGCAGCAAGATACCAACACACAAGCTGTAAAGGCTCACGTCAAGCCGTCGGCGCAGATTGTGGTTGAGCGCGTCGACCATGGTGTCCATCACGGCGGTGGCCATGACGCGCTCGCCTCGCACCAGGGGAAGATATGGAGACCGTTGCCGGGATAGACGTACTGCCACTTTGCTCTCCTCACTGCACATCCGCTTGCAAACATCAGTGTCTTCAATGAGGAGGCGAAAGACCATCAAGTTGAGGTGGCAGTAAAGAGTGGTCCGTTGTGAGAGATGGGCGTGCTGGAGGAGATACGAGGTGAGGGAAATGAATCCGGCGAATGGTTGCTCCTCCCCCTTTTCAGGGGGTAACGTGACAAAGTTGGAACAGAATAGTTTGTTGGCGTGTGTGAAGTCGTAGGTTGCGAGTAATATCGCTGCGTCCTCTCCTGGTCTACGGTGGGATGAAAGGTCAGCGGGAGTAACCAGCAAGGAGTGTCGCATTACGTACAGCTCGGCGAACATCTTCTTGGCCATCTCGACATCGTAGACGGGTTTCTGTGGAGGTTTCCCGCCAGGAGCAATGGCCCCGAGCCCGATCATGTTCAGCGTGCTGACCAGAGTCCACCCTTCTGGTAAATCGTCTTGTACATCGACATACTCCCGCCTTAACGTCTGGCATGTGTATCCCACACTCTTGATGATCTTCCTTATCACCTCCTCGTTCACGAAGTCGTTTAACCGCATCTGGTAGGGATTCTGGAACTCGAACTTGTTGTAATTCGCCAGCAGCCCGATGAGGGTAAACGGCGCCGCTATTCTGGCGGGGGTGTCGGCGTCTTGTATGTACTGGAACACCAGATCAGTTCGTTTCCCCTTTTCTCCTTTCTGCAGACCTTACCTTCATTATTGACGGGAACAAGTCTCGTTGTATGAAATAGGTCAACAACGTTGTCTGGTATGCGCCTGATGCGACAGCGAGGGCGACCTCGACCGCTTTTTGCCGTAGGTCCACTGCCAAAGGTCTGTCAGCACCAGCTTCCCCCCAACAAGACACACGGGTATGTCTTCACTAACAGCTTCGGCCATTCCTAATGATGGAATCCAGCCCACCCACAAAGTCGGTGAAGACAGCGTCGATGTGGTCGAGGCCGGCCAGCACGCCGATAATATCAGAGCTCGGGTTGGTGTACTTCTTGGCTAGTACGGCCATCATAAATGTGCTCAGGGTCTGTCCACCACCAAGACATTTATTCGTTAGAGCTTCTTCCCAAATATGACCCCTAGGATCCATCCTTTGCTCACATCTAATGCGTTGAAATCCGTCACGCCATGCCCGCTGCCGCCCTTGAGCGCGGCCACGGCGCGCGAGAACAGCTGTCCCGTCTGGAGCTCGAAGTGCAGGAGGTCGTTCGGGCTTATCTCGTCGAGGATGCGCCGGAGCGTCGCCCGGTCGGGGCGGAGCAGGAAGAACTCGCGCCAAAAGCCCTCTGGTTTCTCGCCATCATCGTTGTCGTCCTATAGCACGTTGTGATCCCCTCGGGGCAGAGCATCAGCGACAACACTTCCGATCATGATCTCTCCAAGCAATATCCTTCCCCGTAACAAGTTTCGTCTTCGGCTCGCTCGGCGGGAACAGGTGAATTGGGGAGCTTCGAGGAATAGCCTACCTTTTGGTCGATTGCGCAATGTCAGCAAAAACGTGTTTCCCATCTCCAAGCAACCGCCGGCCAAAAGAAGGTTTTCCAGAGAGGAGGTGGAGGGGTGGGAGTTTCCAAACCTTGAAAAGCGCTTCGTAAAGCTGGACGATCTTCTGCTGAAAGACCTCGGGGCGAGGCTGGTGGGTAAGAGGGGATTGCTCCATGTAGTTTATTGTCGTCAGAAAAGGAAAAAAAGAAGCACATAAATTATTAATAATCTATTAATGAAGAAAAACCAGGAGTAGTCCTCGGGAACCCGAAATGCATTCGCAGGCAGGGTGGTGGGTGGCGGGCTCTCTCGAATGATACCACTTCGGTGTTTGGGCGGGAAGGGTAGGTTGGAATGCGCGCGCCCACCGCCCGCGTCAGCTCAGCACCAAAAGCGCGGTTCCATTGTAGAGGCGAGAGACGAGGGGTCCACAGTGCGCAGATCCGGAGAAATTGGTCAGCACGAGCCAATCGAGCGCTTGCGCGCACAGTGCTAATGGGACCTAAGGTGTTATCGGCGAAAGCCCCTGAAACGGTCCCTTCTCCGTACTGTACCGTAGGGCTGAGGAGCTGGCTTTGAAGGATGAAACGAAACAAAACTGGAACCCCCTCAAAAACGGCGAGCTTCAACCAACATACCTATGGGAGGTTAGCCTAGAGATAAAAGAAAACTGACTGTTGATTAGTTCTACTTGGTCAGCTCGGGCCTTTGAGGCGACCTCATTCTTTCCTTATTTTTAGGTATATACATAGTAAATGCAGTGAATTACCAACACTATTAGTAGGGAGGGCGTGTAGCTACTGCTGAGGTTGTTGATAAGAGCAGGGAACCCCTTTCACCAGCAGCAATAACCAACGTGACATCATTGTCCCAAATCACAACGATAAAATCTACCTAGGTGCCTAGCAAAAAATAGGAAACAAGCAAATGTCACCAACTCGATAAGGCACCCATCGTTCTCCTGAAAATAAGTAACCTGTATTGTTCAACATTCTCCTCTCCGCTCAGTACCTATACTCACTACACACCATGACCATTTCATGACGTGTGTGCATGTCCCATCATGCCCAAGACCGGTCGCTCAATTTTGTTTTGGTCCAGTCTATCAACTCGTACATGATACATTGTACTTGCTTGGTCGACCACGGGAGGGTAGAGGCACCTCCTCCTCCTGTCTGCCGTATTACATCGCCCTCTTCTCTTCTGGGCCGGAAAAAAATAAACAGATGTAAATACCATACAAACCATCAAACCCAAGCTCTTTGGCCTCCAATTGCCATCAGAACCCTTTTGTCTTTCTCTTTTCTCTAGCTTGACAAGACTTCCAAATCTTCCATCCCCTTTTCTTGTCTCCAGAACCGGAAGAAAAATACCACGACCAACAAAAACCAGCAAGGTGTTATCTTGCGGTGTGCCAATGCATACGCCCCGTTCCTTGAACCCGAAAGGCAAAAAAGAAATAAGAATACTCAAGGTGAAGCCATAATGGTCGTCTCCAAATAATGATGATGCGTACTGGTTGCATGGCGGGTTGTCCAGACCAGTCAAAAAAGTGGTAAAAACAGCGCTAGAGAATTCGAACAGAGAATTGTTATGGAAAAGGAAAAGACCGTGGCGAAATAAGCAGTATATGTAGAATCGCCGATGTAATGCCCGTAAAAGAAACGCCAACGCCATGCCGACACAGACAAAGAATGCGAATAGAACGATCGAAGGAAGGTTCAGATTCCCCAACTGCCTCTCCGCTCTCCAACGCCCCATGCGAGGGGGCTGATGGCGTTGAGGTCAGGATGCTGTCTCGCCCATTCGAAAATGTACAGCTTCAGCGCCTTCCAGCGCGGACACCTATCTTCCTCGCAGATGCCGTCCTTCTCCTCGCTATCGAGCATGATGTGGCCTGTGGCCTGGATCTTTTTGTTGTCGTGGGAGTTTACAGGCGTGAGGGTAGTCCCACTGTCGGCGCGGTGGAGCCCATTCCCGAACACTTCGTGCTCATCTGCGCCCCACAAGTTGTCCATAATGGCATCGTCATCCTTCTCCAGCTCATCCACCTGAATGCCACTGATCTTGCTGAGCTCCTCGTCATACGGCCGCGCTAGGGCCGGGTAGCCGAGAGAGAGGTAGTTGTAGACCTGCGTGACGAACTTATCGTCAAACTCGGCTGCAATCTTCTCTTCCAAATCCGCGGCCGCCTTCTCCTTCTTGAGTCGCTCGTCCAGCCCTTGCAACCCGTGGAGCATGTGCAGTCCTTTGGGCTGCTGGGTGCGTGTCCTGTGCTCTGGGCGCCTTGCTGCCGTAGCTGAACCACTCTGCGTGGCAAGAGGGACAGTGCCCGCCCTAGCCGTGCTCGTGGGCGGCGACGTCTCCCCGCTCCGCTCCACCGGGG